CCCGGCGAGGGATGGCCACCTGGAGGGCAGCGTCCAGGTTAGGTTGGCGCCCGCCACCCCGGCGCTGCGCAGGGCGGGCGGCGGTAGCGGCTGACCTGGTTTCTTGCCTTATCGCCTAGCAGAAGGAGGAAAAAGTTTTCAGCGCGGGGAGGAAATGTCCTGGCTTTGGGGAGTTTAAAAGAGGGTACGGGTGGGGGAGGAGGGAGTTGTTCTGTCGATTTGGGGGGCCAGTGGGGGCTCGAACCTGGAGGGAGGGCGGTCTGGGGCGGAGTCGGAGTTCTGGGACCAAGGGTGGGGATGCAGGGGTGACAACATGTGCGAGGAAACCTACGGGGGTGACACCGGCGGTGGCTGGCCCGGAGGAAACCTGGGACGCCCCACCCGGCTGTCCTTCGCTTGGATTCTCTCTCTCCAGAATGCGGGATCCGAGGCTCCGAGTGTCCGGCTCGGTGTGTGCGCACGTGTGTGCTGTGGACTCCCCCTCCCCCCGTTTCGTTTCCTGACGCCTTTAACAAGGCGAAGTAGACCGCCCCCCTCGCGGCGGGGCCGCTGGCTGGGGCCGCATTTCAGTGGGCCGATAGGCGAACTGGGCACTTGGTGTGACACCTGGGCGGAGGTGCTTAGCCTGCGTGCGCGTCTTTCCTGACCTGGGGAGAGTCTACACTGGCCCAGCGGCGGCCGCGGAGCGGCCCGGGATCCCCTCTCCGGAACCCTCCCTCGGCACAGCCTCCCGGCAGCTGTGTTAATGTTTGCGTGATTGTCGAGAGGCGGGTAGGGGGCAGGGCAGGGTCGACCGGAGCGTCAGGATTCACCTGTGTACTTCGCACCGTGCGTGTTGGAATTGGGATCCTGTTCGGCGTGTGTGCGACTCTCCTAGTACGCAGGTTGGAAGTGGCGGAGGAAGTAGGGGTTTGGGAATCGCGTCCATATGGAAAGATTTGGAAATGCAAACATTCATTTGTCCGCAAGCGCTCTTGGAAGCTATGCGATGGCTCGAAGGATACCTCCCGCTGTCCGCGTTTGAGATGTAAACCGGTGGCTCTCCTGAGGAGGTAAATGCGTGCATCTGAGCTTAATGTTGTTAAGGACACTGGTTACTTCACTGTGTGCTTCGCACAGACCTCTCATTTCTCTCTTGGCCTCTGAATTCCAGCAAGACAGACAGCCTGATCCTTCCTCTGGGGTCTTTCCGGGTTCCGACTTGGAAAATATTCCGTGTGAAAAGTGTGTCTGTCCGTTACGCAGTCCTCGGTAACCCTCTGTTGTCAGGTCGATCGTTACAGGGCATGAAGCGTTCACCACTGTTTCCTGTACGTGGAAACAGTGCCCCTGTATGTGCCTAAGAGCGCACGCTTCGGAAGGGGGAGCGCTGACCCTGGAGCAAATGCACGCATATGGACAGAATTGTAGCGGTAGCTCGTTAATTAAAAAAGAAAAAGAAAACCGAGGGGATTCTGCTCCAAGTGTGGTGGGGTGGGTATGGCGCTGGGTGCACCCTCTCGCCGTGGGAGCTGGCGTTGCAGAGCAGACACGGAACATGCCTGCCTCTCCAGCGTGTGCTCCACATGCCACACGCCTGTCCCTGGAATAACGTAGCTTTGGATTTTGTTTACATGATGTGTTGCAATTAGCTTAGTACGTAATTAGCTGTTGTCGAGCTAGAAAGCGCATTCATTTTGAAATGGGTTTCCATATGGAAATATAACTTGAGCTTAGATTACTAATTTAAAATGATTTACATTGCAGGTCCGATTTAGGTTCTGGGCAGGGGGGGCTGCTATAAGATTGAATTTAACATGAAAATAGCAGTTCTGAAATGCTGATTTTTAAACAACTAATATTCATTCCAATGGACTTGATATTTAGAAAAGAAAAATGAAATTAAAAATAGATTTTGAAGCAAATCCGTGATAATTATAGATCTTTTGCAAGGAAACGATGAGAAAAGTGTAACTGGGGAAAAAGGAAAGCATGGTTATGGAACTGGTTAAGACTTAGACAATGACTGAGAGTGTTATAATAATGAGGAGGTCTGCATTAACCCTCACTTAAAGTTGTTCAAGAAACTTTCCTTTAAAGTTGAAGGAAATGTTTGAATATATATCACCTTATTTTTCTTCCTGAGACAAAAGGTAAGAAAAGTAACTTCAAAAACATGATTTGTTTCTGAAGATTTCTCCAGGCATACGTAAAAGGGCTTAGCAGGCACCTTTCATTTTCTCTTCCTTATAAAGACAACTGGTGGGTTTCCTTACACAAGGAGGTTTTTGTTTGTTATTTTAAGCTGCAGTGTGTAAAAATATGAATTTCTTTTAATGATATTTTAGCTCTTAATTGCAGACAACCTGTTGAACAGGAACCCAGGGGGAAAAAATGATGACATTCACAGAACTCAGATTTCCTGAATCCATAGCAGGAAACGGATTAGACAGAAAATTAAAGGATATGATTAAAAGCAGAGATGCCTTGTGTATTTGAAAACTCTAAAGGAATCACTTGGTTCAGGTTTTTACCTAAAATTTCCTCTGTCGTTTCCTGAGCAGACGAAGCGCTCTAGCCTCATAAAGCGGCTGGCGCTGGCACCTGAGCTGTTTACCCCTACATGGCCTGCACGCCGTCGGTGCGGCTGGCACGGGGCTGGCCTGCTGTGCCGGGCAGGGAGGCTTGTGCTGAGAGCAGCCGTGCGTGGGCACCTCAGCTGGGAGGCGAGGGGACTGTGAGTCTGGGAAGCCTGAGCTGGTGGCTGTGCAAAGAGAGGCGTCCGCGGCACTTCTGGAACCTAATTCTGTATCCTAGTGTGTTACCACCAATACCGTTAGCCCCACGTTGTGGCTCTGAGGGATCAGTAAGTGACTGGAAATGGCTGCTTTCAGACAGCAGGCTGGTGAATTTGCAATGCGTTTGTCTTACAGGAGAGTATCAAACAGGCGTGTGTGGCTCAATCAAGAAATAATCGGATCCCTCCGCTCCGGGGGTTGTTAAGTGAACCAGGGTGATGAAAAGGTGTCTCAGGCCTCATCCCCGGGGGCCGGGCTTCCCGGGGCCCTGGCGGGAGAGCCCCTGCCAGCTTTTCCACCCGTCAGTCTCTCGGTCCAGGGGAATCCCTGCCCTGGTTAGTAGCCTGTGGGGTCGAGTTTGAGCCATAATGGGAAGTTGTCATTGGAAGGGGAATATGAAGAGACTGGTTGATGGATCCGACAGGCGGCGAAGCTGGTCAGATTAGAAGCGAGCGTCCATTTCTCGACGCTGACAGCTGTCAGGTTCAGAGGCCCTTTGACGCCCGTCAGGAGGCGCCGTGACGTGGGAAGACGCCCCCTGCGGGTGTGAAGCCCGCACCCCACCCGGAGGGCTCGGCCCCGCGGCTCCAGCCTTGAAAGCAGCGTCCGTCCGTGCGCGTCGACACTGCCTCCCAACCAGGTTTGCTGCAGCGAAGCTGCTGAAAACCTGGAATCTCAGTAGAATCCCAGTGGAATCCCAGTGGGCCTGCTGGGAAGACCCTCCTGCCGCAGCACTGCCCGCCCGGTGGTCTTGGGGCCTGAGAGGCGTGATGTGCCTCGAGCCATCGCGCAAGCGCCGGGAAGGGACGCGCACAGCGCGAACGCCCACCGTCCTTCTTGTTCTGGCGCCGAGCCCGGGAGCCAGCGGGCAGGTGTCCCTCTGGCCCAGGACTTGGCTGCTGTGTGCTCCTTCTCGTCCAGAAGGTCTGGCGGCGGGCAGGTTCCCCAGCGGCTCGCCCACCCGGCAAGGGCCAGGCCCTGCGGTCACCTGCGCCCCTGCGACGCTGTCTCCGGAGGCGGGGCTGCAGCTCCCGCGGGGCCACAGGCCCGGAGCGGAGCGGCCCGCAGCAGACCCGCAGGAGGAGGACTGGAGCCCCTGCCCTCCTCTTCCGGACGGCTGTGCCAGCCCAGGGACGCCATGGCCGCCAGCCTCAGCTTCTGGAAGTCTTGTCCTGGTTGCCATTTCATAGGACTAAACTTCCCTCCCGTTTTCAGTTTGCATCTGCGGGGCTAATGTGTTGCCTGGAAAGACCTTAGCGTGACCTGGACAGTAAGGTTCACCCTTTTCGAGGACTTCCGCCCAGAAACCAGAGGCCATTCCTGCCTCTGCTGGTCTCCGATGTAGCCCTGAAGGGGACAGAGCCCGGGGCCGGAGAAGGAGTCGCCCTTCCGACCCTGTGTCATCTTGTGCGGCCAGACCCAGTCGACAAATATCCTTGTGTGTCATTGTTGGCAGGATCAAATCTCCCTTCTCCGCACTCCTCCCGGCCGCTGTAATTTGAGTTGTTGACTCTCCACTATGGAATTAATCCTTCATTAGGTCATTTGTTCTAGCCTGGCCCAGCTTATTTCCTGTCCCCAGCGTTCCCTTGAAATCCGGCCCAGCAGCTGAGCCAGGACGTAGTCTACCTGCAGTCACCTCTCCTGCAGGAAGTGGCGCTTGTCTGGGCATCCTGAGTCAGGCGCGGTGCCCTTCCACCACTGTGTTCAGATCGAGTTCAGGTGAGGGGGAACCACGGTGAGCCACCACCTCTGGTTCAGAGAGGAGAGGCCACAGATGTCTGCTGCTGAGACTGGGCGTTCATGGTGATGCCGTGCTGAATGTGCCTCTGCTGAAGCCGCCTGATTTCTCACAGGTGACTATGGCCAAACGCAGACACCCTGTCAGCAAGCTCCGGGAAAGCCGTCTGCTGACAGCCTTTGTCGGCACGTGTGGGAGTGGACCACCTGGTTAGAGTCGCCTGTGGGGCCCAGTCTGGAGAGAGGCCCAGTTACTGCTGATCCAGGCGCCACTTCTTGCCCGCAGCCACTGCAGCTCCACCCGAGGGCTCTCACCTCCGCAGCCCCCACGCCAGTGGTGTCCTGTGGACTCCAGGCGTCTCTGCAAGTTCCAGGTGGGAGAGGCCCTGTGTGTGTGTCTGTATCTGTTACCTCTGTGCCTCACCCTCTGTCGTTCAGGCCACATGACCCTCTGAATTCCGGTTGTCCTCGCTGTCTTTAATATTAAAGTTGATGGTCAAGGGTAACCCAAGGAGTATGTACGATTGTCTGAAGATGTTAACTTCCTGCACACACGTGACAGTGCGTTTTCATAAATACGTGCCAGAGTAGGATGCGTCTGTCTGTCTCCTCTGTCCTCCATCTGTCTGTCTGTCCGTCTCTGCCTTCAGCTGGACACAGGAGCACACGCCCCTCCCAGTCCTTGTTACCTAACGTGCCAGGCACGGTGGGCTTTTTTTGGATACTCGGGGAGTGTGTCCGGGGCTCTGCGTCCCAGGGGCCTGTGGTCAACCGGAGATGAGTGCAGCTAGGAAGCCTCACACGGAAGGTGCTGTCTTCACGTCCTGGGGCTTAAAACAGCCGTAGTGTGTCGTCTCATAATTCCGGATACCGGAAGTCTGAAATGAAGGTGCTGGCAGGCCGAACCCACTCCGGAGAACCTAGGGGAGGACCCCGGCTTGGCCCCAGCTGCCGGAGGCTGCCTGCACCCCCGACCCGTGACTGCCTCTGGTCTCCGCGCTGTGGTCAGGGTGCCGCCGCCTCTGTGTGTCCATCTTCCACAGGTATGTGGGATTGCATCCCTGGCTCACCTAGGAAATCTCGGAGCCTTAGCTTTCCCGTCCCTTTTACCAAATCAGGTAATTTGCACAGGTTGGGGGGTGAGGACCTGGACGTGTGTTTGGGGGATGTGGCGTCTTCAGCCACAGCAGAAGACGTCAGTGAGCAGCCGTCTACTCTGGGACGCCCCGTCGCCGGTCGTCAGGCTGAGGGGTCTGGATGATTTGAGAAGATGACGCTCGCAGCCCAGCCCGCCCGTCGGAGGGCAGGGCGAGGCCACCCTCCTCACGCGGAGCCGGAAGCCCAGCTCCTCCTCCCTGTGCGCCTTGGCCTCCCCTCCCCGAGGAGTGTGAGGAGAGTACTTCCCCGCTTTCTTCCGCAAGAGAGGCTGTGAAGCTCCACGGTTTAAAGTTACATCCGCCTCGTCTCTCATCCCTTCTCAGGGTTCACGTTCATCGTAATTTTTTTTGCTAAAGTATAGTCAGTTACAATGTGTC